TGTTGTTTTATGTTTTTTAAATAGTTTGCAGCTTAATGAGTTACAGTCTAACACAGCTGGAGAGCAGACGTCGACAGGCTCCCCTATGGTGTTGGCTGTCAGGTGTAGCGGCCGGCTTCCTTTCTATTTTCTTTCTTTTTTTTTTTTTTTTTGTCCGAAGCTTTCGTTTACCATATTTTTTTAGCTACGATCAGTGTTTTATTTATGCATTGTCTTGAATTCATTTCGATGTTTTTAGTTATACAAGAATGAATGAATGTTTGCGGTGTATATGGGTGGGTGCGGGAATGAATAGGGGCGAGGAAGAGGAGGAGGAGGAGGAGGAGGAGGATTTATATGATTTCCTACATAGATTATTTTTTTGTTATCGCACAAATTTTTGTTTTTACACCTCCTACACGACGATGGTGTTGTTTTCGTTGTTGTCGGCCATTTGTGATGGGTGTTGTTTAACAATATCCGCACACATACACACTCAATCGCATATAAAACTGCTCATATATATATATATATATATATACATATATATGTTTTCATATAGTTATAAAATTTTACCACCGAGTCTATAATGTTTCACAGTTTTAATTGTTCTTCCGGTAATTTTCATAATGGAAATGAAGAACGTTATGAATACTTAGCGGAATAAAGAATTCATTGCACACAGTAGGTATATTCTTCTGCTTGCCGCTTGGCGTGATATTCCTAACACAAATTCAACGAACACATACATTTATTATGAACAAGTTTAAACCAATTCCCTGCCAAATACGACTTTCATGATGTGCTTATTAACTCTTTATAACTCTGGCATAATTTCATGATAATGTTTTAAATGCGATTGTTTCTATGCTAAATTTAAGAAGGAATAGATTGCAAATGCTAAGGACGGTAAAAGTTTAACGTGAATTTCCGACGAGAAGGCTTAACATAACGGTAAACGATAAAATAAGGCAGAAGAAAATGTCTCTCATATGCCCCCTAAGATGATTAGTTCGTGAGTCGTAGAAGACTGCAAGAGCAATTTAGGCCTAAACGAATTTGGCTAATACCCATAAAATCGAAAAGTAAATCATTGCCTATAAATATCTATAGCTGGTTTGTGAAATAAGCGATCTGTTGACCGCATATATTCCAGCTGTATATTGCATTAGAGCGGGCACTAGGTTATAACTGGCACAATGATAACTGCGATTGTGAAGTTGGATAATCTCCATTTATTGATTCTAAGGAGACATAGGTCTTTTTTAGCACAACGAATTTGACCTAATTTTCCTAATCTTCTTCGATTGGCTCGTTTATGCTAGAACTAACGCCAAGATCCAGTTTTGTTTCCTAGGGAGGAATTTTGTCCTTCATATTGCAAACTTTTTAACACGTAGATTAGAATATTTCTAATGCAAATTCTTCGCAGGCTGTCTGAACCTGTGCTGCAAACCTTTATTGCCGTCTTTAATAAAGGAAAAAAAAAGAAGAGATTTAAGTCTTCTAAATTCGCAGGATGTTTCATTGTAATTCAGCTAAATAGCGCTGACTCCAACACCATTCTCTGTTTTCAAATAACAACAACAACTGTAGCAGAGAAATATCGCAATTCAAGCGCAAGTACTGCATAATTGCAGTTCTAGCGAGTGCTCAGTCGATAAACCCTTACCAAATGGTCACACGACCAGCCCTACTAGGCTGTGGTTGCCTTGCTAGCTCGTAACATACACAAAAAAAATATATATATATATATTTATCGTTTTCTACGGTGCAATTTTGTGCAATTTTCCTTAAACAGAATAAACTTTTTTTAGAGGCAATGCGATGATAATTTTTCTAATACATCTCGACTTTTTTCTCATATTCGAAAATTCGCGGATATAGTCGCAAAAACCGTTCTCAACACTGAAACCTAAGTTTGATGATATTTCATAAAGCGGAATGGCAACTTTTAACAGAGTAAAAGAAGAAGAGAGGTTTGGACGCAATGCAACTATACTCTTAAGAATTTACTTTTTCGGACTTGAGTTCACTGTACCGGCTTTTTGAGGTCACGTGTTAATGGCCAATAGCCTGGCCAGCTCGCGAATAACTTTTATATAAATTATATGCCGTACCAATGTTGACTTGCTACCATACGGCCAGCAAAAAACCATTGCAAGGAATCATTTTAGTGGAAATAAAAAAACCAAATGCAGTCTAAAGAAGCAGCGGTAAAAAAAATCATGTACGCGTACATAACTTACTTTTAAAGAATTTTCATTTCATTTATTCGTTTGAGAGAGGGATGAGAGAGAGAGAAAAAAAAAGGAAAGAATTTCAAACTTTACGAAAAGAAAAACATGCACACCGTGTCTGACGGTTGCCACATCCAAATTTTACAAAATAAAAATAAAAACAATATAATGTGTATCGATGTACTTTCCAACCGCACTCACAGCGAAGCATTTCATCAAATGCAAAACATAAAATATTTAATAAAGAAAATGCTGCGTTTTTTTTTTTTTTTCATTTTTCATGAAAGTAAAAATGTTTATACACATGTTCGTTTGAACGAACGACCAAAAGAAAGACTAACTTATCAAAGTTCACTTCATATTGACATGTTTTGTTGTAATGGAAGCTAAAGAAGACTCTCGTAACAATTTAATGCAGTTCCGAAGGCGTGTTCAATGTTAACGGCACGTTTTCCATCCAAGTCAAAAAAAAAAAGAAGAAGAAGAAGAGTAACAGCAAAAAGCAAAACGAAGCGGAAGAAAATGGGAAATAAGTTTACAAAAAAAGCTTTTGAAATATTTTTTTGATAAAATATTCAAAAATTATGTATTTATTAATAATTTATAAAAGAAGAAACAGGCTCGCAAATAAACTAAAACTTGTCTTTTTAATTTCTCAACTATAGAGAGATCACATAAAGAGTTGGTTGAGTTTAATATTAATGCCTCTCGTAAGCAAGTTGTTACGGTTTCGCATCCGAAAGACGTTCTTATTGCTAATGCTTTCGTCATTTTAAATTCTAGTTTAATATAATTTCCGATACGAACAGCAAAAAAAGGCAATGCAAAAAAAGCTTAAGGCACTACAAGCTTATAAAGAATGCTTGCTATGTGGATAAGAAAGAAATTGAATTTAAAATGACAGAGAGTCCGTTAATGGGGCGAATGAGAAACTTATCCTTGTATTGACTCAAATCTATTGGCACTTACTAAAGGGGAGAGACATCTAGAGAGTTGTTGAAGAACATTTGATTCTTTGGCAACATCTGGATTCGTTTGATAGAAAACTCCTGGCGAGGGCGTCTAACTGCTGCTCAGCTTGCTTGGTGCGGAATCACTTATCACTTGATTTGAAGACAGTGTGACGGAATGACTTCACTAAAATGAATTGTGCTTAAGGGTTCGCTTTTTGCGCAGATAGTGACGTTATTTATATGGTTTCACCTCTGAACGAAGCCTAAAGCAAAAGTAAAGAAGCCGACAAGGATTCCGTGATGACAACTCGAGTTTCGCTCTCTTCGCTACAGGCTTTGATGTCAAGTTTGAGGTTATATGTAAGTATTGTTGAAGATTAAGAGCACTGCAAACGCATTTAGGAATTAGGACAAATGTTAAGTCATTGCTTTAAAAAGCGAATGTAAACAGAGGAGTGAAGACATCTCGCGTATATTCATAAAAATTCAAGTCATATAAGTTCACTTGCAAAAAATGCACATAGAAGACAGGCGACAAGCCAGGATTAAAAAGAAAACAGTTTTAAGAATTGCTGCCTATAACATACCATGAGCAGGCCCAAAACTAATCATAACCCCCTTGTGCTCACATGCAGCACAGATGAAGAGTAGTGTGATTTACGAGTCGTCTGAAGCCATTCGTCAGAGCTATAAGCAGATAATTGTCGATTCTCCATCGCAATAATGCATTGAATTGCTGTTTGGGAACTCTTTTAGCAAAACTCAACTTGGAACGTAGATGTCGTATTCGGCGATTTTAGCTTCGTATGGTTCTCTGGCTCGAACTCGCAAAATCAATCCAGATACATTTTTGTTACCCGTGAAGAGATAAAGTCGCATTGAAAAATGCATTTTTTTAAAAGGAAAGTTTCTTCAAGTGACTTCAAATTTGACTTAGAATTCTTGAAATAAGCGCCTACTTTGAGGGCATTTTAAGATGTATTTCGATCTTCATTGCTGCTTTTAAGTAATTACGTTTTCCCAGCCTTAGCCTGGCCTTTAGAAGACTGCCCGAAAAGACCTGCTTTGTGTTCTCCTGTTCTACACTATTCGTGCCATAGACAATATTGAAATCGCTCCGAGATGGCTTAATTTTATTGCACCAATCCGTTTAGACTCATTTTTTGAATCGCATGTTTGATTAAGTTTGTCTGCCAGACATTCTACAGGCTGCGGTGTGTTCATCTGACCTTCCCTTGTAAAGCGGTATGTTGAGAACCAAACTAATTGCGCTCTTATCACAAGGGTTTGCGAGGCATAATAACGATATGAATTTTGGTTTAGAGTATTCCAATGGAATGAACACAAATCGAATGAACAAAAGTATAAAGTACAAATTTGTAACCCACATGTTTATGGCGTCATTAGATGAGGAAAATAATCGAGTAGCTCGACTACAGCTATTGTCTTCGTTTGTGTGGAGCTTTTGGTGCTTGTTCCTCACTGCTAGAGAGTAATAAAGTTGACTAGTGCTTCGCGAGACAAAATTGTACTACTTGTCTTCATCTTTGTTGTTGTCTTCGTTAGATTTATAAAAAACATCTCAACGAATGAAGAGGAGCAGCGAAAGAGAAGAAGGAAAGACCAAATGTTCTTAGAAAGTTCAAGAAAAATATCATCAGCTCACGGAATACATTTTTTCGATTTTTCAGTAACATTTCAAAAATATCAGTTTATTTTCTTTCGTGTAATACAAACTAACAAATAAATAAATCGATTTGTGGTAACAATTTCGCAGTTTTATATTAATTTTTTTACGAAATTCGAAGAATGTGAATAGGTTTATTATTTAAATGTCCCCCTCGTCGACGGGCAATGCTGTTTCTTGCGCCTCTTGCAATTCTTTTTCAACCTGCTGTTGCCAATTACTGTCCATTTTGATTTCAGGCGGCAATAGCGCTGGCATGGCGATAAATTGCAAATTGGGATCGCCTACTAATTTACGTGCCAACCATAAGAAAGGCTTCTCGAAGTTGTAATTTGATTTAGCAGATATATCGTAGTATTGCAAATTCATCTTTCGATGGAACGTAATACTTCTGGCTCTCACTTTTCGATCCTTTATATCCACCTTGCTGCCGCATAAAACTATTGGGATATTTTGACAAACGCGAACCAAGTCCCTGTGCCAGCTGGGTATGTTTGTGTATGTTACTCGCGACGTTGTATCAAACATGAGAATGGCGCATTGCCCCTGAACGTAGTAACCGTCACGTAGACCACCGAACTTCTCCTGTCCAGCCGTATCCCATACATTGAAAAGGATCGCTCCACGATTCGTATGAAATACGAGTGGATGAATTTCCACACCTAGCGTAGCTACATACTTTCTTTCAAATTCGCCAGTCATATGACGCTTTACATATGTGGTTTTTCCGGTACCACCATCGCCGGCCAAAACACATTTAAAGGTTGGTATATTATCTTGCTGAGTCATTTTGTTTTTTTTTGTTTTTTTTTTTTTTTTCTGTAAAAAGCACGCCGTAATACGTTAAAGAATCAAAAGCCAAGTTTTCCGATTAAATTTCGCTTCGTGTACTATTGGTTTTTGCCTTTGTTTATAGTTAATAATAATAAGAAAATTTCTTAATCTGAAATCCGTATATTTATTTATATTTCTTCTTCCCACCTTAGTCGACTCAATGAAGAAAACAAAAGAAATAAAAAAATGACACTGCCGAACTGACGTAAAATTGCGATTTTATTCTACGTTGGCCATGATTTTTACACAATTCATAATATTTTATTTTCTTCCTTTTGAACGCATTCGTATTTTGTAAATCGATTTTTTTTGCTTAAATACATATATTTTTGACGCGCTTTTTTTTTTTTTTTTTTCTTTTTTTGAAAAAAAAAATTCGAAAACTGTTAATTTTTCAGGAAAGTATCTATTAATAGATGACATTTTATGAAAAAAAAGGAACGAGAAGGAGGACTTGAAGATAGAGAAGTAGTATCGAAAAAATCATTTGCAATTTGTTTAAAACTGAAATCGAGGGAAGAAATAGAGAAAGAAATATATATGTCAATGAGAAATTCAACTTGAATCCAAGTTCAACATCCAACGCCAAGTATGTCGAAAGAGCAAAGAAGGAGAAAGCGAATGAAGGAAGCAGGGATATTTCATGACTATTTCGGGAAAAAGTTAACAAAATGTTCGTTATTATTATAACTAAGCCATCTATTGGCAATGCATTGGAATATAGATGCCGTGTTATCGTTTTTTTCGAACACCGCTTAATATGGGCTTTAAATTGAATTCAATTGCACTGATCTGTTAACTTTTTCATTTCTTACACACAAACAAATATTTCTTTCCTTTTTTGGATAAATTCAAGTTTGCCAAATAATTAATGGAACTGAACATGAGGCGGAGACCGTAAGCGTACAGTGAAGTGCAAATCTAAGTCTAACCTTGAAAATCGTTAGTGTAAGTGATCTTTGGATCTCTGCAGAGAGCATCAACAAGCATCCTTCTTTGTCATTTTTTCGTCAAGTTCTCTGTCATATTATCAGCTCTTAAGATATTTGATAGGTCTCTAATCATTTCTCCCTTTGATGATGATGATCTATTCTTTGTATGTTTATAATCTGACATGAAACTAAATCGGGTTACTTAAGTAGTCTTGAACAGTTCGCCAAAAAGGCGGATTTAAAAAGGGGAAGGGCAATGTTTTCTCAAGGTGTTCTTGTGAGTTTTGTCAGCACGTATGTGGAGTTGATTATGGTTTAACAGTTGCTAACTACTTTTTACGTTTTAAAGTTGTAGTCCTACAAGTCAGACGAGAAAAATTCATGGCATACAAGGTTTTTGTTGCTGCTAAGAACAATGTGTTATCATCAAAAAAGTAAAATCTCTGCATATCTGACGCCTCAAAATCGCTTCTAATCTAACTATCGGTGCCAATGAGCTTTTCCGTTCAAATTACATTTATGTGCACTTTAAAGGAGTTGCCTATCTCTTCTTTTCGTTCTGATATAGAAAATCTTACAGTTTTTAATATATTTAATAATATTTAGAACTATTCCTGTAAATCGATCGCAAGTGAAAGTTCCTACAAAAAATTGACCTTCGTCTGGTAAAAATCTCCAATGATTATGATTAAAGTAAGCTTTTCGGTTTGTAGTATGGTCTAATTTTTGTTGTTTTGTTATGAAAATTATTCTACAGAATATATCATAGTTGGACTATATTGACCAATATTTCTTCTCTTCCTCTCCACATGTAACGTTTTTGTGACGTAGTGAACACATTTTTTCGTCACAATACTGTTGATATGGGTACCATATGAAAAGATCTGGAGAGTAGAATGTGAGAAGTCAAGTGTATTGCTTCTAAATTAATTGTGGCGGACGTCATGACTTTGTGGATAAATGTTTTCTTAAAAATGCCTTCATTATAGGTAGCCAATGAAAGGAGTCTGAGAGTAGGATGCGATGAAATGTGTTATAATATTTAGTATGGTAGACCTTTCAATAGTGGTCGTTATGCGAGATTCGGCCCTCGCCGAATATAACTTTCTTACTTGTTATATATATATATATATATTATTCTAATTTTATGCTTAAATAAATTCTTAACCGTGGATTGTCGTAGGTGAAATGCTGTAGACCGTGCAATAGTCAGTCTTGCTCGTAGCTTTTTTTACTTGACAGCTAGGACTTGCATACTGAATTCGTTGTTATTGTTTCAGTCTTTCTTTCGGAATAGTTTTTTTTTTTTTTTTGTAATCGTAACCGGAAAGTACGATTCTACACGAAAATTTAATTCGATGTTAGATGATTTCTAAATTTTTTTTGTTTAAAAAAGATATCTAGTTATGTAGATCTAAGTTCGATTCTATATATATATATATATATATTTATCTATCTACTCTTTATTTCCATTTATTATAAAAATTTCGTCCACAATAGATTACATGCTGTCATTGATGTTGAAACGACTTCAGAACATTTTACTAATTGGAAATTTTATAAAGTTTGTTGTTTTTAACTTATATAAGAAAACATCATAAAATATCTATCGAATTTTGTTGAACTTATTTCTTTTGTGGCCTTATAGTCAAATGGAAATCAATAAATTTAATTAAAATAAAAATCACTTTCTATCAATGTTATGCATATATATTGAGCCGTACAAGCAGCACACACACACCCAACAAAAATATATTTTTTAAAGATTATGGATATAAGTTACAAATGTTTTTCTCTGATCGAATAGTTTGTGAAAATGTTATTGAATGTTGTAGTTTATAATCAACTAAAATTTTGTTTTCATATTAATGGGAGAGAGAGAAAAAGAGAGAGAGAGAGAGAACTGAGACAAAAAGTTTTGTTCATGCAATAAAAGAGAAAAATACATTTATATTAGAATTACGTACATTCTTTTTCTTACATTAGTAAAATGAAACTGAATTCAATAATTTGATATTTTATTTATTTCTTTATTTATTTATTTATATATTTATTTATTTATTTTATCTGCTTACACATGAAATTCGACTAAAATATATCAACAGCCGTGTTTAATTGACCCTTAGAAATAAATCGTATACTAATTATTATTAAAAACTAGTATAAAGTGTATAAGGAGAAATAAAGAAAAAATTACTAATTAAAAAATAATTCATGTATAAATAAATAAGCAAAAAAAAAGCATGTACACAGATAAGCAGAGAGGCACATCCGCAACCAACCTTGAAAACATGCCAAGTAAACTCTAAGAGATTCGTAACAGTTGATCTTCTTTTCAGGAAATCTTCTTTTCTGCAAAAGAAGCTATGGCTAGGCAAAGCCTCTATCGTTCTACATTTGTGGGGTGGAATAAGGCAAATACTCTTCCAACATAAAGGCAAAACACCTGATTTGAACGACTGATTAAAACTCATTGAAATAATTGCCGTCAAGCAGGCGTCATTCGTACTAGAAACGATGGGATGCGCAGATTGTTATTGAAGATAAATAGGAATGCAACCTATTTTGGGAGCTACGCTTGCGCATGCCATGCGTTGGGTTTATAATTTAGAAAATACATGTTTGTACTTGAAAAAAGGGAGCAACAAATCAGGAAGTTGGATATATCTTGAGGTGAAGATAATTCTTTCATATGCCCATCATTGCGAATGAATGCATAAAATTGTTAGATATATTTTGTTAATTGTGGCCACGACAGCCGGTTGCTTTTATTATTTTCTGTGCTGAAATTTTATAAACCTTTCAAAGTTAAGGTTTTTTTGTTTTTATTTATTTTTAATTTTATTTTATCAGCAGCTACATATCATTACGGTTCATTACAAAATATATATTATTTTGAGGACAACGTACCTTATGCCGTAACATACCTAACCGTGAGACTATAGTGGTAAAAGAAAGACAAAGAAAAGCAAGATCAGCACGTCGCAACTATCAACGACGTAGCCGATTAAGTGACGTACGTTTCGCGTATTCACTTTTATCCCAAACGGCGAATAAGCTACAAAACGTAATATCAATTTAATATATTATTAAAATTGTTGCTACTCAATATCTAATTTTTGCTTTTCTAAAATAAGGCTGATAACCTATATTGGTAAAGCTTACTTTTTATGTTCAGTCTGTTTGTCCATCCATCGGGCCGGGCCTCCTGTCCCCTTTGTTTTCTTCCGTTCAACTTACATATCGCAATTTCCGATACATGAATTGGTACAAGAGAAACTTTTGGCCCAACGACCAACGATATTAAAAATGATTCAAGTCAGATCACCTTTTCCACCGCTCCAAACTATTATTTTGTCTTATTTTGAAATGTCTGTTATATGGGTAACTGCATAAAATCGATTAGGGTGTTTAATGGTGAGCCAAGTTTCACTATAGCGCTTTTACGTGATTTTCTTTCATTTCATTTGTATAAAACAATTGCGTCAGCGACGCAATAATAATACATATCTCTGCAAAGATGAACTCCATGCTTGCAATGATATTTTTCTGACATATACTATATTTTTATATGCATTTGTACGTATAATTAATATTAAGGCTAGATATCCTTGTTATCTTAGTCGAAATAATTTATCACTTTCAACATTTTTTAGCTATCTTCATATATTATTAACATTACAGTTTGGTGAAGGGTGAAGAACGATGACTGTATGATGATTATTAGTGATAGCTCGCTACTTATGCCTCAAAAGTAATTGTCTAAGTATGACAACGTGTTAAAAACATTTATGAAATAAAAGCTAGAGAGAACCGTCTTCATCTCTAAGGGTGCGAACAAAAACTTCCCCAATTAAACAACTCGTAACGGCAGAGGGTGACGAAATGACGAGACTTCAATCTACCGGCTAATCATCTGAAAAAGGCGTTAGTAGTGCTAGTGATAATTTGGATGAAGACTTCACAGCCGTAACGCTAAATGGACCTCTGCTGCACCCTCCGCGACCCAGTTCGCCTTTAGAA